TGGGACAGTATTCAAAAGTTAGGTAGAAGCTGTTTGCTTACCTCAATACTTCAAAAGAAACTGTAAAACTCGAGTAAAGCAACTTGGCGAAGCTGCGTTGCAAATGCAATCGTTCGTGACCAACAAAATTGCGGTTGTTCTATTTCTGGGTTTTCTTACAGTCGTTTTTGGCGCTTTTTTTAGTTCTTGTGTGCTGCCTAGTGACTGGCGAACCGCGCGTGTCGTTCTCATTCATAAAAAGGGTGATCGTTCAGAAGTCAGTAATTATCGTCCCATTTCTATTACGAGTACTTTGTGCAAACTTATGGAGCATATTGAGAGTAATTATGCCCGGTATTCCTTAGAAGGGAGAAACTTGCTTACACCATTTCAGCACGGGTTCCGAAGGGGTTTATCTACCATTACGCAACTTGTCACCGCAGTTCATGATTTTGCTGCTACTTTAGACAAATCTGGTCAGGTCGATATTATTTTTTTTAAAACTTTAGCAAGGCTTTTGATAAGGCTCCACACGGCAAACTTCTTTATAAATTAGAGTGTTTTGGAATACCGTCGGAGAGTGTCAATTGGATAGGTTCGTACTTGCCTGATCGCAGTCACTTTGTCGACACTGGTGGTCATTCTTCCAGTATTCTGGCTGCTTCCTCGGGTGTTCCTCACGGCAATGTGCTTGGCCCGTTGTTGTTTTTTAACGTATATAAATGATATTGTCTCAGTTGTTAGTCCAGATGTAAATATTCGTTTATTCACCGATGATTGTATTTTGTTCAAAAGGATATCCACAGTTGCCGGCCAAATATCACTGAATTCTTTTCTTGCCTCTATCCGCAATTGGTGCTGCGCATGGGAAATGCAGCTAAATTTAACGAAAACGGTTCATTTACGTATAACAAGAAAAGTGAGGACCTGAATTTCACTTATCAATTAAACAGTGATGTAATATCTGATGTGACTGAATACAAATATCTTGGCGTAACCATATCCCACGATCTCCTTTGGTCACGACACATTCAAAACATGTGCTCCTCCGATTCTCGTAAATTGGGCTTGTTATGTCAAAAACGTAGAAACGCTGCTTCTTTCGTTAAATTGCAAGGATATAAATCCTCGGTCCGACCGAAGTTAGAATAGGCTGGCATAGTATGGCACCCGAATCCCAAAAAGGATGCGTCACAGCTTGAGAGGGTTCAGAAGAGAGCTATTTGCTTCATCTATGGAAAGTATAATGGGCTAGATTTCCCATCTTCATTAATGATAAAAAACAATATATCATCACTCCAGCATCGTCGAAAAATTGCGAGACTAAAATTGTTGTCTTTCTTTATCATAAATTGAATCAAATCTATATTTATCCCCATCATCATATTGGGAAACTAGGCACCATCATCAGTGTTCCCTGATACCACTATTCGCTCGAACTAACATTTTTAAGTATTCCTTTTCCCACGCACTATTAAGGATTGGAACGCCCTCCCTCGTGATATATTTTTTTGCTCCCGGCCTCAATGGTGCTCTTGAGAATCACACCTTTTGACTGTTCTACTTTCCTGGTGTTTGTACATGACTTTTTATTGTATATTAGGCGTTGATTATGGAATGTTTATTATGCTAATGGCGTTTATATGTATATACATCGTTGTATAAGCAATATATATGGTTGTCATGTGTGTCTTGTTTCTCATATGTATAGTTTGGTTGTATGTATGTACCCCACACCTGCAGGGGCCTGTTCAAAGCCAGCAGTGTGTATGAATAAAAAAAATAAAAAAAATACACACAAAGCCCCAAGCACGTCAGCCTACCCCAGTTTGCGGATTGGACACGAGCACTGCGTAATTCGAACGTATGCGCTCGTCAACGATCAATCCGTCAACAAATATTTAAATTCACGTTCGTGACCAATTGGTGCCGTGACGGCACTTATTGTCACTTGCTAATGACAAGTTCCATGGTGTGCTTAAAGATCACGGTGAAAGCTTGGGCCGCACAAGCACGTCATGACCGCGTGATTTCTCATTCAATTTTAGTCGAGGATAAAAGCTAAGGAGGAAGAAGTTGAAAAACCGTTTGATGGTCCCTATAAGTTTTGGCTCCTCCCATCATCGCAGCGACTGGCTACCAGTCACCACCCGAATGCACGTCGGGGCATTGATTGCCACGAGCCAAAATCGAATTCCGCAGACCCTGCTGGTGTCCATGGTATGAGCCGCATTGAAATATCGCATTCTCGGGGATCTCAAAACTTGACGACGAAATCCCGGGGATGGCGTGTTGACAACGCCCAACAACGCGATCCACGCAACATCGTAATCAAAGTTCGCAATAACTGCAGCGACAAAAACGCTTTTTGTTTAGTGGCGTTGCGTGCGAGTACAATTGGGTCCTTTATTCCATTGTCACATAATAGAAAAGGAAGTTTAGCGGATTATTTATGTGCTGCACGAAGCAGTTCTTCAAAGATTTAGTTGTAGAAAGAAGGAACTAACCTCTTGGGTGTTTGAAACGTGTATCCCATGATGACACAATGGCAAGGTAAGCTAAAATTTACCCAGATATATTTTAATTCATCACATAAGGGACTAAATCATTAATGCCCCGCGAGAAGAGGGATTTTTTTACTATGGTGCTTGAGGTGAATACGACTGTAGTGTCGGTAAGCTTGCGTAAAGAAAGAAATATTCCCCCCGGATATCGTATAACGGCCCCTTTAAAGTGACGGCACGAGGCCCTGCTGGCAACATAAAGTTATTGTGTACGATCTACAAAAGTTTCTAATATTTTCACTTTCCTTTGTGAACACAGAGGCAGACGATACCTTGTTCTCTGTTCACTTTGGCTTGTTGCAGCTTACCATTGACCGCAACAGTTAGAAAGGTACAGCCAATGACAGCTTATTTTTTAAGACAGAATAATTACGCCCATATGTGCTGTCCAACGATTCTATTATTTTTTAAATTAATTTTTTAAGTTAATTTAGTTTGGCTTTTCACCTCAAGGAAAGGGAGACTCAGGCCTTACCGCAGCATTCGTTTGTCGGAGGGGAAGTCAAACTATGAATTGAAGGGACATGGAAAATGAATTTCTTCGTTTTCCTTCGTTTTGGGTGCACTTATCCTTCTATATAAAGCTTGGTTACACCGAAAATGTTTTTAGAGAAAAAATGAGTAAATTCTGTTCTTAATTTCCAACAAACAAGCTGCCATATTAAAAAAAAAGTCCTACTCAAACGTACTGGTATGTCCAAGTTACCTTTCATTTTATGTAACTCTTCGTGGAATGCACTATAGCATGCGCCAATAAGCTTTAAGCGCTACAAACAATGACCGGATACATTTTTTTAATCCGATGGAGAGTAAAAATGTTTTAGTTATGCCAAGTCACTTCATATAGAATAATTGTTTTTTTTTTTTTTGCTCGAATAACTTCCCAGTTTATGTTAACGACAAGATTTGAAGGAACATTTTGCAGACTGAGTTCCTATTTTTTCGTACACCGAGGTGACCTTGAACTGTCGAAGGTCTAAAAACAAAGCTGGTGGCCCACTTTTTAACCGCACAATAAATCAAAGTTCAACCACAGTCAGACCATCCTCCACATTAGATCTGGAACCGCGGTGCCAAACTCTGCTGCCCCCTTCATCGGTCAGCCGTCCAAGGGAAACTTCGAAGACGGTAAAAAAAAGTCTACAACCTAGGGTTAACGTTGTAGGAAAACTTGAAACTGAGCCAGAGTTTCGCGGCTATAGATTTTGGACAGGCAAAACTTGGCAGCCTCATTTTACAATGATTATACTTCTTGTGGAGTCAGCTAGATCGTCTGTAAATTTCTTCCTTTGAAATCTAAACTCTCAAGTTTAAAGTACCACAAACTTGTTTGCATTTTAATTCCTTATTTGGTTTACGTAACGTCGGCAGAAGGAAGCACCGAAACAGACCCTTTTCGTAAGTTCATCGAGCGACATTGATGGTCACCATTTCTTGGGATCCCAGTCCTCTCGTAATGCTGACTCAGCATCAGTTTTCAATACGAGCTCTCGTGCCCAATACATGCTGAGAGTACATAATCAAGAGTACATAATGAGAGTACATAAATGCGATGGTGGAGAGTTTTCAAAAGGGTTTTGTAAAACTCGGAAAAGTTCGAGCACTAGGTATGTATGTCTAAAAGAACAGCAAATGAAAAATAAAATAAATGAACCACCATGAGACGTTATGAAGCGGTTTCCCGTAATGTTCTTTCGGTTCGAAATTTCAGCGAACTTCATGATGATTAACTTTCGTCGTGTGTCTTTTTATGTGCTTAGGAAGTGTGTTCCAGCTCGGTCGAGTTTCTTTTGCGTCATGATCGACTGTACCTGTCGAAGTAGTCGGAGATACAAAGGAGCATAATTTAGTTTTTTTGATTTTTGTAAAAAGCAATAATTATTCGGGATTCAGACGATCCGGAATCGAGAAGTCGATTCGTAGGCGCCCGTTAAGGCTCCAGTACATGTCGCAAGGGCGACTTCAAAAGAAAGCAGGTCGGAATAAACTTGAATTTATACGAAAAAAAAAAAAAAAAAGAACACGTCCACGATCGTACACAGCGTTCCGTCGTTGGCGGAGGCACTCGCCTTGCTTCAGAGTTTGACTAACATCCAGGACAGCGGCAATAACTATGCCGTCTGGACGCAGACCAAGGGGAGGAGTGGCGGACGTGGTTCATCAACAAGGTAAAACGCGGTTTAGCGGAAAACATATTCATGAAACCGTCCTATATAGTAAAAAAGGTGAATAAAAATATTTTAGCAAATCATGACAAGAAATAATTAAAAGCAAACACATGCCTTAGTATGGACGTGTATTAAAAAAAGTTCTAACATCATAAAGCATGGTCCCTATAAAGCTA